TGGGTTTTGGACACATGAAGCGGAAAAGATGGAGTGATGGCATTAAGAACAGCCTTACAGAAATGAACATCAGTCTTAATGAGTGCTCTTGACAGAGCTCATCAACGAACATTACATCTCCCCCTGACACTTCGATGAGGTACAAGGTGGAAGAGAAGAAGAAGAAGCAGATGTGGTGAAGGCTACCTGAAACTGAACAGATACAGCATCCATATCAGGAAAGAATTCAGCAGGGAGTGGACAATTTTCTTTCTACGCGTGCAGGGAAACCAGAGGTGGACTTTCAATCAGGCTGTAACTGGCATCATCAGTATGGGGCTCTGTTGGCTGCTGAAGAGGGGAACGAAGCGTGTATGAGGAATGTCCCAAGTGCAGTGATGTCATTTCTTTGATACATTAATTCTGTATCTTGCATGATGCTTTCCAAAGCATGACCAACATAAAACAAAAAGTCATGCACCAAGGCACACCAGTCATGTGAATATCATCACAACACCAGTTGTGTGAATATCATTACAACACCAGTTGTGTGAATATCATTACAACATCAGTTATATGAATATCATCACAACACCAGTGATCTGGTGACCTTCCCCCCCCCCCAGGAAATAGCACCTTTTAGGCTGGGTCAGCCTAGGCCAATGAAAACAGATCTGTCTTAATGAATGGGATTCATAACCCTACGGCACTGCCTGTCAGTCAAATATCTAGTCACTTAGCAACAGCGGTGGTCACTTATAGTGACATCATCATTATCCTGTTGTGCCATTGTATGTCACACAAGTCTCGTAGTCTATTCTTCCATTCTGTTCTGTCCTGTGCAATCAGTTCAATGTCACGGACAGAATCTAGACCAGCATCTTTGGCTTCTCTCGTTAACATCCATTTACGGGTTTCTCTTGATGTCCTCTTTCTCAATCTATTTATTCAAAACTGTAGTGCCTGTCTGGTAATTCTCCGGTTTCTCCTCAGGATGTGTCCAATATAGAGCCATATTCTTTGACTTATAACCGTTATTACTAGTGGTTGCCCAGATATTTCTCTTATTTCTTCATCTCTCTTAAATTCATCTGATTTTATGTTCAACATTTTCTTTTTCTTTTTCGTTGTACCCCACCAGGACATCAAACAAGTGACAAACACTCGTGACACAAAGTGCCACCATGGGGATGAAGATCACACATGGAGAGGTCCCAGAAACCCCTTTCAGCTGTTGGGCCATATTTATGGCCAGGCTATATTCAGGGTCCCCGGCAAAAGCCAGGGTGGGGCTTTAAATAATGAAAAATTGCATCTCACATGGGGACGACTTATAATTAATCAATGTTCTCCTCAAGCATTTGTTTTTAAATGAATTACTTTCATCTGATGTCACTTAAGGTAACATCAGAAATTATGACTTTCCTCTGAACTTCTACCCGATATTATGGCGGCCAAACAAATACACCAACAGGGCCTCAGTCATGTGTAAAATGCGGACTTCCTGCAACGAACACATCACGGCAAAACTAGAATTATTTGACAATTTCAAGAGATGCAACACTGCAGACAAAGTAGCAGACAATAATAGCGACCATTGACAATTTCGAGCTTTTCTGCAGACGATAATGGAGACCATTGACAATTTCGAGACACGCAACATTACAGACGATAAAAGCGGGGAGACCATATGCTCAGATGCAGATTAGCGATACTGTTCTTCCAATTAAACTCACCACTGAGAGTATCAACCCATATGGCTGGGAGACCTCGCGCTCCAACGAAGATTAGCTATAGTGTTCTTCAGATTAAACTCAACTCCGAGCGTATCCCCCACGCCACGCATAGTGGGATCTAAACTAGATGCCTGGGACTCACAAGCAAATAAATTGGAGGAAGTTGCAGGAGATGCAGTAGCTGCTGTTTGTGAGTCCCAGCCATCTAGTTTAGCCCCCCCATCCATGCCGTGCGTAGCAGTGCGGGGGATACTGTCAGCGGTGCGGGATAGTCACAGAAACAGGTCCGCAATTAACATATCACTGAGACCCTGTCAGAGCATTTGTTTCATTAATTGGAGTTGATCCTAGTTTAACCATGATGTGTTCATCACAAGAAGTCTGCATTCTGCATAGGGCTAAGGCCCTGTTAGGTTATTTGTTTGGTCGCCATAATATCAGGTAGAAGTTCGGAGGAGAGCCGAAATGATTAATCTCAGAGTAATTAAAAATACAAAAAATAGTGAAAAAGTTAGATCATTATTTATTTTATAAAAAACAATGAATCAGATTTGCGACCCGACAATATAACTTCTTTTTCTTCTTCGCGTTCACCAGCTGTAAACTCTGGCGGAAAATTCTGATTGTTCATCTACTTCTGGACTGTAGTCCTGTTCCAGAACCGGAGTGTTGCGCCGTATGCATCCGTTTTTACAGATCTGACTCATTTGTAGGCAACTGCTGGTTCCTTGCCTCTCAGGCAGATGCAATCCTACTTCGAAGGAAGCTCCCAATTAGTCTGCTCTTACGACATGCTTTTGGCTTGGTCTATTCTTCTCTTGTTTTCCCCATAATCGGGCCCCGGAACCCACACGGGAAACAGTACACTAAACTACTAAACTAAAATATGCAGTTGAACTGATGACGTAGCTAAGACGTGGAAGAAGCTGTTAAGGCCTCTCTACTTTCTTCTCCTAACGGATTTCACCCTGTGAGATAAATAATTCATTACCCTTGTACAAATCTAGAAAGTATGAACTGTTGAAGTCATAAAAAATAATTTTGAAAATGCGACCAAACTTGTCCCGTCTCCAGCCTAAACAATCTTCTTGCGCATGCGCATGCATGCTTGGAATTATCCAAAATATGAATTAGACTTTAGATTTATAAACATTGACAATTTCATTGCAAATAAAAGTTTAAATATTCAATGTAAAGATAAACACATTTACAAATAAATTATTTCAGTAATATACTAGTAATAAGTAAACTTAGTGATTTATATATTTAGTTATCTGTATTCATTTATTACCAATAATCATGTTTTGTTTTGTAGTCTTCTCAATCTGTAGCAGAAGCGAGCAGCTAAAAAAAGCAGAAACAGAAAACATTAGGAAACCCGGGACGTGGTAAGATTGTTATCGTTATTTAATATTTTGTTTGTATGTTGTCTTTAATTTCAATCCTGCTTTCTCTTAGCCACAGGCTGGGACTAAATCTGTTAGTATGTGTTATTTTGATGGCTACGATGTTATTCCCATTACTGTTTCAAACAGTGTTTGCTAACATACATTTCATTGGCAACTTCTAGTTTCCAGCAGTCGATGACCGTCGTGTCAACTGTCATTCTGCAACAGATGCTCGATCGATGGTTGCTATGATTGTCAACAGGTGACATCGAGTTGTTGGGTAGTGAGAGATCGAATGTGTCTAATTCCTACCTCGTCCAGACTTCAGGTTATTTCGTAACCGCCGGGGACCTCGATATAATTATAACCTCACGGTTGAACCGAACGCGGCTTATCAGGATTTGTACATACATGTTGAATTCTAAATCGTGTACTGTATCCCTGTGTTAATTGTTAATTTTGCAAAGCTGCAGTGAAATGCGTAATGCGCTGCAATGTGTCCAATGAATAGAGAAAATGTCTCAGAATTACTGTAAATAATACAAACGAAATAAATTTACCCACATCAAAGGACTTGGGAGAATGGCGGTGCGAGGAGTTAGGTCAATTCTTTGAGGAATTGGATGAAGAAATCTGTAAGATACTACTTGCTTTAGAAATGAGAATGACGAAAGACTGTTAGACATATGTGTGCACAACATGATCTTGTTAATACCAATACCTTTTTTCACAAGTTATTACATGGTATAAGTGGAATGATCCAGATACTAAGAGTCAGATTGATTACATCTTAACAAGAAAAAGGGAATTTCACAAAGTCACAGATTTGAGAGTTATACAAAACTTGAGTTTAGATACAGATCATAGGATGATGATACTTTACAGAAAAGTCAAGATGAGTTTTCAAACAAGAAAGAAATGTCATAAAAGTGACATAATTAAATGTAAAGAACTAGAGTGTGAGGGGGAGGTGTAACATTCATTGTTAAGATCTGTCAAAAGCACTATTAAGATTGATGTTCATTTCTGTAAGGCTGTTCTTAACTCTTTGAGTCCCAGGAGGTATAGCATCACAGGCCCAAGGGGTAGTCAAAAGAGATAAAAATCAGCGCATCTTGCATTCATTCGGCTTCTAGGTAGGAATATATAAACGTATGATGCGTTCTTTGGGACTCAAAGAGTTAATGCAATCACTCCATATTTTACGAGGTCTTTCACTTGGTCTCTACCTATTGTAACGTTTCAGTGTGGCTCGCTGTGGTAGATAGTACCCGAGGATTTTTGTTTTTGTTGTTCTTCTTCTTCTCTTTCACCTTGTACTTTAGTGAAGTGTCAGGGAAAGATGTAACGTTCATTTATGAGCTCTGCCAAGAGCACTATTAAGATGAATGTACATTTCTGTAAGGCTGTTCTTTAAGCCATTCCTCCATATTTTCTGAGGTCTTCCGCTCGCTCTTTACCTGTTGTAATTTTTTCACTGTTTAAGTTATCACTGCTTAGGTTATCACTGTTTAGGTCATAGCTGTTTAGGTTGTGACTTTTTTTTGGGTGGGGGAGTTGGGGGGGGGGGGGGGGGGGGGGGGTGAGGATATGTGGATGTGGATATGTTTATTTTCTCTTTCTGCTGCATACGAACATATTTTTTTTGTCTTCTACTATTTTGAAAGCTCAGTGACCAGATGTTTAGTAATTTTACACCAGCCTCGCAGGCCAGAAAAAATAACTCCGCTGGCCAGTTTTGGCCCGCCTCTGTTCTGGAGACAAGAAGATGACATATTTGACACAAGATATTAGTTTATAATATGTTATTGTTGCTCTGTTTTGGATTGTTAGGTAAACATCGTGTGTTAGGAACTCATGAATGTGAGCAGCTGTTTGACACTTGCAAGAAGGTACCATGTCCGAAGTCCCCAACAACTCATTGGCAGCGCCTCAGTTTACATCCAAGACCATATTTGGCACTATCACCAAATTTGAGGACGTCCAGGATAGAATCATCAACACTGAGCACTTCCTGCAGGCATGCACAGATATCACTGGCATTTTGGGTTAGTCATCTTCCTCTTCTTCCTCCTCCTCCTCCTCCTTCTCCTCACCTATTCTTCTTCATCTGCCCATCATCATCTTCTTGAATAGATGTTTCTAGAACAGCAATGTTGTAGGGGGAGGAAACAGAAAAATAGGTCATGGGAGCAGTGGCAGAATAAAATAACAGACTCTGTTACGCTGAGCATTACTTTATTTCGTTTTGGTCATCTGTTACGCTGAGCATTCCTTTATTTTGTTTTGGTCATCTGTTACGCTGAGCATTCCTTTATTTTGTTTTGTTCATTCCCCATCTTTTTGTAGTTTCTCACATGGCCTATTGGTGGACGCTGGTGGTTGGAGTACGTTCCCTTTTGTTATTGTTGTATATTTAGTTCACGTTGAGAAAGGCTCTGGCCCAACGTCAGTTTGTGTGTTTTTGTGAACATTGTTCTGCTTCCCACTTTCGCTAAGCTGTTTAGTCACAGTTCACTGGATTAATTTGTGTATTACTGGAATGCTCAGTGTTTATTACAGGTCCATGCTGCACATCCGTACAGGTATACAAACACAGTAGTGATTGCAGTACAACATTCTTACTTACTGGTTACTTGTTGTCTGTATCGAAATCCTAACATCATTCTTACTTACTGGTTACTTGTTGTCTGTATCGACATCCTAACATCATTCTTACTTACTGGTTACTTGTTGTCTGTATCGACATCCTAACATCATTCTTACTTACTGGTTACTTGTTGTCTGTATCGACATCCTAACATCATTCTTACTTACTGGTTACTTGTTGTCTGTATCGACATCCTAACATCATTCTTACTTACTGGTTACTTGTTGTCTGTATCGACATCCTAACATCATTCTTACTTACTGGTTACTTGTTGTCTGTATCGACAATCCTAACATCATTCTTACTTACTGGTTACTTGTTGTCTGTATCGAAATCCTAACATCATTCTTACTTACTGGTTACTTGTTGTCTGTATCGACATCCTAACATCATTCTTACTTACTGGTTACTTGTTGTCTGTATCGACATCCTAACATGATTCTTACTTACTGGTTACTTGTTGTCTGTATCGACATCCTAACATGATTCTTACTTACTGGTTACTTGTTGTCTGTATCGACATCCTAACATCATTCTTACTTACTGGTTACTTGTTGTCTGTATCGACATCCTAACATCATTCTTACTTACTGGTTACTTGTTGTCTGTATCGACATCCTAACATCATTCTTACTTACTGGTTACTTGTTGTCTGTATCGAAATCCTAACATCATTCTTACTTACTGGTTACTTGTTGTCTGTATCGACATCCTAACAACATTCTTACTTACTGGTTACTTGTTGTCTGTATCGACATCCTAACATCATTCTTACTTACTGGTTACTTGTTGTCTGTATCGAAATCCTAACATCATTCTTACTTACTGGTTACTTGTTGTCTGTATCGACATCCTAACATCATTCTTACTTACTGGTTACTTGTTGTCTGTATCGACATCCTAACATCATTCTTACTTACTGGTTACTTGTTGTCTGTATCGACATCCTAACAACATTCTTACTTACTGGTTACTTGTTGTCTGTATCGACATCCTAACATCATTCTTACTTACTGGTTACTTGTTGTCTGTATCGAAATCCTAACATCATTCTTACTTACTGGTTACTTGTTGTCTGTATCGACATCCTAACAACATTCTTACTTACTGGTTACTTGTTGTCTGTATCGACATCCTAACATCATTCTTACTTACTGGTTACTTGTTGTCTGTATCGACATCCTAACATCATTCTTACTTACTGGTTACTTGTTGTCTGTATCGACATCCTAACATCATTCTTACTTACTGGTTACTTGTTGTCTGTATCGAAATCCTAACATCATTCTTACTTACTGGTTACTTGTTGTCTGTATCGACATCCTAACATCATTCTTACTTACTGGTTACTTGTTGTCTGTATCGACATCCTAACATCATTCTTACTTACTGGTTACTTGTTGTCTGTATCGACATCCTAACATCATTCTTACTTACTGGTTACTTGTTGTCTGTAACGAAATCCTAACATCATTCTTACTTACTGGTTACTTGTTGTCTGTATCGACATCCTAACATCATTCTTACTTACTGGTTACTTGTTGTCTGTATCGACATCCTAACATCATTCTTACTTACTGGTTACTTGTTGTCTGTATCGACATCCTAACATCATTCTTACTTACTGGTTACTTGTTGTCTGTATCGAAATCCTAACATCATTCTTACTTACTGGTTACTTGTTGTCTGTATCGACATCCTAACAACATTCTTACCTACTGGTTACTTGTTGTCTGTATCGACATCCTAACATCATTCTTACTTACTGGTTACTTGTTGTCTGTATCGAAATCCTAACATCATTCTTACTTACTGGTTACTTGTTGTCTGTATCGACATCCTAACAACATTCTTACTTACTGGTTACTTGTTGTCTGTATCGACATCCTAACAACATTCTTACTTACTGGTTACTTGTTGTCTGTATCGACATCCTAACATCATTCTTACTTACTGGTTACTTGTTGTCTGTATGGACATCCTAACATCATTCTTACTTACTGGTTACTTGTTGTCTGTATCGACATCCTAACAACATTCTTACTTACTGGTTACTTGTTGTCTGTATGGACATCCTAACATCATTCTTACTTACTGGTTACTTGTTGTCTGTATCGACATCCTAACATCATTCTTACTTACTGGTTACTTGTTGTCTGTATCGACATCCTAACATCATTCTTACTTACTGGTTACTTGTTGTCTGTATCGTCATCCTAACATCATTCTTACTTACTGGTTACTTGTTGTCTGTATCGTCATCCTAACATCATTCTTACTTACTGGTTACTTGTTGTCTGTATCGACATCCTAACATCATTCTTACTTACTGGTTACTTGTTGTCTGTATCGACATCCTAACATCATTCTTACTTACTGGTTACTTGTTGTCTGTATCGACATCCTAACATCATTTTTACTTACTGGTTACTTGTTGTCTGTATCGACATCCTAACATCATTCTTACTTACTGGTTACTTGTTGTCTGTATCGACATCCTAACATCATTCTTACTTACTGGTTACTTGTTGTCTGTATCGACATCCTCTAACATCATTCTTACTTACTGTCATTACTTGTTGTCTGTATCGACATCCTAACATCATTCTTACTTACTGGTTACTTGTTGTCTGTATCGACATCCTAACATCATTCTTACTTACTCGTTACTTGTTGTCTGTATCGACATCCTAACATCATTCTTACTTACTGGTTACTTGTTGTCTGTATCGACATCCTAACATCATTCTTACTTACTGGTTACTTGTTGTCTGTATCGACATCCTAACATCATTCTTACTTACTGGTTACTTGTTGTCTGTATCGACATCCTAACATCATTCTTACTTACTGGTTACTTGTTGTCTGTATCAACATCCTAACATCATTCTTACTTACTGGTTACTTGTTGTCTGTATCGACATCCTAACATCATTCTTACTTACTGGTTACTTGTTGTCTGTATCGACATCCTAACAACATTCTTACTTACTGGTTACTTGTTGTCTGTATCGACATCCTAACATCATTCTTACTTACTGGTTACTTGTTGTCTGTATCGACATCCTAACATCATTCTTACTTACTGGTTACTTGTTGTCTGTATCGACATCCTAACATCATTCTTACTTACCTGGTTACTTGTTGTCTGTATCGACATCCTAACATCATTCTTACTTATGGTTACTTGTTGTCTGTATCGACATCCTAACATCATTCTTACTTACTGGTTACTTGTTGTCTGTATCGACATCCTAACATCATTCTTACTTACTGGTTACTTGTTGTCTGTATCGACATCCTAACATCATTCTTACTTACTGGTTACTTGTTGTCTGTATCGACATCCTAACATCATTCTTACTTACTGGTTACTTGTTGTCTGTATCGACATCCTAACATCATTCTTACTTACTGGTTACTTGTTGTCTGTATGGACATCCTAACACATGGGGTCTACAAATTCAATGCTCCGTCCTCTGATACAGCAGAAATCTGTGTTTTCATGGTCAGTGTATTCAATGTGAGTTGACTGACATCTCTTCTTTCTTTGCTTCATTGACATCCTAAAACATAGGGTCCACACATTCAATGCTCCATCCTCTGATACAGCAGAAATCTGTGTTTTCATGGTCAGTGTATTCAATGTGAGTTGACTGACATCTCTTCTTTCTTTGCTTCATTGACATCCTAAAACATAGGGTCCACACATTCAATGCTCCATCCTCTGATACAGCAGCCGACTCAGTGTCTTCATGGCCAGACTACTAAATTTGAGTTGACTGGCATCTGTTCTTTCTTTGTTTCATTGGCATCCTAACACATGGGGTCAACACATTCTGATGCAGCAGCCATCTCAGTGTCTCCATGGTCAGCATACTCAATTTGAGTTGACTGACATCTCTGCTTTCTTTGCTTCATTGACATCCCAACACATGGGGTCAACACATGCAATGCTCTGTCCTCTGATACAACAGCCAACTCAGTGTCTCCATGCTCAGTTTACTCAATGTGAGTTGACTGACATCTCTTCTTTCTTTGCTTTTTCTACATGCTTGTCCTTGTTTAATAACCACTTCCAGCTGATGGTTCATTGTCTCTGAATCCTACTTCTCATTGTTCATTTAAAAGTCACCTTCATGGCACATCGGGCATGAACAGAAGTGCTCCGATCTTCTGAAATTGCCTCCAAGGGTTTCTAGGGTAACAACTCCCATTCCCTTGTTGCTCATTGTCTAATTGCTTTGAAACACTACATATTCAGAACGTCTGGCCTGTCCATACTTATTCCTACACTAACTACTGCAGACGTCTGCAGTATTTCAGCTCTTTAATTTCCTTTTGTGGGTTCTTAGATCGCATTCTAGGATTTAAAAAAAAAACAACAAGACCCACTGCCACCGTAACAAGCATATTGTAAAAGTCTACTAATTGGGGTTTTTGTAACAGTTTCTGTACCAGGACTAGAGTCCAGAAGTGGCTAGCCTGCCTGGAAGTCTGGGGTTTAATCCTCATGTTCCCCATATGGGTTTCGGAGCCTCACTGTCCCCCTAACAAACATATCATAAGAACTGACTCATAAATAATGTTTCCTTGGAAGGTTTAGTGCATCTGCCTGATAGGCAAAGAACCAACAGTCTGCATACAAATAAACCAGATCTGTAAAGCGGATTTACACGCAAAACTCCAGAAGTGGATGAACAAACCTGAACTTTCCACTAGAGTTTACAGCCAGTAAACATGAAGAAGAAGAAATCCACATTGAGGTAGACCGTTTAAAATTGACTTTGGCTGCGTTAAATGGGCACCAGGCAATGTCCTGGGAAGTAAAGATGGCTGAAAGGATGCTGGTATCATTCAGCGAGTGCTGATTTCTCCATAGAAGTATAAGCCTAGCAATGTATGCCCAATGTGCCAGCATTGTGAATGAAATGTCATTAACTGCTGTTTTTTTTTTTTTAAACTATTTTATAAACAATAAACATGAAAAGTTAAAACAACAAACTGTCATTTTTTTGGTATTGTTTTGGTAGATCATCTTGGGACAAGTTTTACACTGGCTAAAAAAGACATGCTCGGAAATATCAAGGTAAAAATATATTCTCTCTTGCATTTGATGTGTGCTGTTTGTCCTGCGTTGTCAAGGTGTCCCTCACAGTGCTGTCAATTGTTTTTTAGACTTACCTTTTTTTCTTCAAATTTGTAAAAACTGCTGATGCCTTGCAGACTTCTTTCTGCCTCTGCGACTGTCAAAATTATTATCTAAATAAGTAAATAGATCTGTTAGTTTAATTGTTGTTGTCTCTAGTTTTTACAAATCTCCTTGATTGGTATCTTCAGTATATCTAAAGCCATAGTTACTTTAATTTAATAAACATATTTTTACAATTTTGGTTTGTATCTTCTCATTCAGAGAATTAACGAGCACTATAAAAAGGATGTAGCTCAGTTTGCAACATTGAATGTGATACTGGAGGCGGAGTCTCATATGGACAAGAAGCCATCCAACTTGGCACTTGGTGTTATATGGCTGAAAAGGTATGTTTCATAAAATTGCCAGATGAATTTAAGGGCCTGTTGGCAAGGTAATGAAAGCTGAAAGACTGCAATGGTTGGGGCAAATAGAGAGAATGGCAGATAACAGAGAGATAAAATCTGTGTATACAAAACAGTTAAAAGACAGTAGTCACTTGACATCATGCTGCAGATGAACAGGACGACGTCATAATGACAGTTTGAAGATGGCCGCCTCATTGCGTGACTTAGCAGGTCGTGAACAGTCTATTAACAAAGTCACACTGTTTTGATAGGGATGCATCACCTTACGAGACCTTCATTCGCTGCGAATTTATATAGATTTCACTGTTTTAGTGATCAAACAACAGGTAATAGAATGCTGCTTCTCTTTGGTGCATATCAAAAGTGAGGCAGTCATCTTTGAGCTGTCTTAATAATGATATTGTATTTATCTGCAACATGATGCTATGTGCTTAACACTCTTGACATCCTTAACAACAATACTGACAGGTTACAAGACAGTGGCATGGTGATTGTAATTTCCGTTGCACTTATTTTTTTAACGAAAAGGGTCCAGGACATGTGACTGAATGTGTTTTATTATCCCAAATAAGGGCTTTAGAATTTCTGCGAGCTTTCATTTCTGGCCTTTCGACCGAACACCACAACAGGGTCGAGGAGGAGAACCTAAGGCAGACGGTGCTACAGGCTTACGAGGGAACTCTGCAGCCTTACCATGGTTTAATGACCCAGTTCTTGTTCACAGTAAGTGTCTGCTGAATTCAAGTTGTTTGTTGTAGGTCTAGTTTGTTTGTTTAAAATGCTTATGTGAGTTTTCTTCTTCTTCTTCTTCTTCTTAGCATTCAGTGGCAGAAAACTCTGGTCTAAAGTAATGGTTGTTCATCCATTTCTTGACTTTAGTCTTGTTCCACAACTTTAGTTTTGCATGCATATCCGTTTTACATATCTGGCTCACTTTTTTTCACTGTTAGTTCTTTGCCTCTTTGACTTCAGAAGAAACATTCTTAATTAGTCATATTTGACAGCCTGCTTGTTAGGAGGCAATGGATCTATCATTGTTTCCTCACAGTGGGGGCCGCAGAACCCACGCGGGACACTAGCTGTGATTTCCTCCTTCAAAAAATACATAAGCATGAAGACAGAAAACACAACCAATAGATTGCACAGTTTAATGCCTGGCACATTTTGCAGTATTTTGTCTGTGGAGATAAATGGGATTTAGGGCCGTTGTTCTTATAGCAGGGACAAACAGCAACGCAGTTTTTACCACGCATCTTTTCAGAAGTGAGCTCTAAACACTTGTGCAATCATTTTCTCCTTTATCTCCATTCTTTTCTTGATTTTCTTTCTACAGGCAATACGATTCTTGTTGTTGTTGGCACCTGCCCTTCTTTGTAGATTTTAATGTTATATTGTTCTACAAGTATGTGTTGAAATCACAGCCCGTGGCGATGACGAGTAAATAGCAAAACCCTTTCACGATAAGAGAACTCTTCCACACTTCATCATCATCATCAGTCAGCATGTTAGTTACTTGGTCTTTCCACTTGAGCCTGAGGCGGCACATAGGGCAGAGGTCAGAGCTCTCCTTGTCTGGCAGTTTGCTGCCACTTGTTGTGGATCCTGGGTGTTTATTAGGCCCGTGGTTGAACCTTCGCTGATGATGGTTCTACACAGTGTCTCTTTTGGTCTTCCCCGTTTTTTGTGTGCCTTTCTGTGTTCGTATGAGGGCCTGATGAGGGAGTCTTGCCTTCTCCATTCTGAGTGCATGTCCTTTACACAACAGCACTTTTGTCACAGCACACCCGAAAGTCTGTTTCTTTAGCCAGTTATACAAACTTATGTGTTTTTATAGCCGGTACATTTTCAATTACTTGGTCAGTGATGGAGGTGGAGGCGGTAACTGCAGCACTCTGGTGGCTAGAGAACAAGATGCATACACATGTCATAATTGTAACAGACTCTGAAAGCATGCTGAGAAAGGTGAAGACAGGGAGGCTTCGAGCTGTAGCAAGCTTTACTGGAAAGGTCACAGGTAGTGAGCATACTTCGAATCTTTTCTCCAGGCTATGCCGACGTGTTGGGTAAAGAACAGGCAGACAGATTGGCTGGATCTGCACTACTGAGTGGTGAATTGATACATGACAAGGCAGATGTGGTCAAGGCCCTTTAGGAACAAGCAGCGGAATCAGTAGAGAAAGAATATTATTATGGGCTGGAGAGATTGAGGCACCTGGGTGTAACTAGAGGGGCTTGCCGGCTCACTACACTCAGAGGAAAGGCAAAACGGACATATAACCAGATTGTGACCGGTACCATCAGTATTAGAACTCTGCGCTGGCTGCTGAAGATGAGGACGGAGCATGCATCGGAATGCCCTGAGTACTGTGATAACAATTCTTGACCGAGCTCAACTCATCTCAACTTACTTGCTCAAATTATTCATACCGGGAAAGATGGCACCACTTGTATCACAGCATGCCTGTAAGTCTCTTTCTTTAGCCAGTTCTAAATTCAAATTCAAATTCTCTTTCGTTGACCACTTTCAGCTAGGTCCGCTCACATTTCTGCTCACTTTCCTTTCAGCTAGCCAGTTCTACAAACTTGTGTGCTTTTATAGCTGGTGCATCTTCAATTACTTGGTCGACTTATTCATACCAGGAGAGACAGCTAAATAGCTTTCACATGCGATGGATGCCTAAGAAGAATACTTGGCATCAGGTGGCAGGACAAGATCACAAACACTGAGGTATTGGAAAGAGCAGGTATTACAACAGTCTTCTCAGTGCTCAGTCTATGAAGGCTCCAGTGGTTTGGTCACACCTGAAGAATGGAGGATGGCAAAGTCCCTAAAGACATCCTTTATGGTTAATAAAAGACGGGTAGAAGATGTCGAGGCTGACCTCTGCTATGATATAAAGATGTGTGCAAGCAGGACATGAATGATACAGGTACTGAGGTGGACTCATGGGAACAAAATGCCATGGACCGTGTTGTGTGGAAGGGACACAGCGGGAAGGGAAGGAGAATAAAGGAAAAAAATGAATGCAGAAAGGATGAAAGCTGAGCATCTGAGAAAAGACAAGACTAAACACAAATATTGACAACAATAGTCCTGCAATCCCATGCTATAATTGTGAAAGACATGTCTCAGTGGGGGAAGGTCTTGCTAGTCACACTCGCCATCTCCATGGGCTGTGAGTCCCAAGCCTCCTCATAGCACAGTATAATACTTATTGTCTAGAAAGACGGAAAGATGCCAATCATCAGTTGCATCTTCAGTTTCACAATAACAGCATAGGGTTTCAGTTGCCAGTGCATGTTTTTAATGTGCTGAGATTGTAAACTTTCGGCGGCCTTGTCTTCTTTAATAAATAGGGCACTAGAACAGGAAGAAAAACCTACACTTGAAATGCTCTGTCTGTGCAAGGTCACTAACAACACAAGCCGAAGCAGGGGTTACGAAAACCAGCGTTAGAGAGACAGTTGGAGAAAGACCATGTCAGCATTATATTGACAGACAGAGAATGAAATGGTTGGGCCATCTAAGGAGAATGCAACCAGGCCAAACTGCATATGAGAGTTTTTACAGCAGAACATCTGAGAGGAAGGCGAGAGGAAGACCAAGAAAAACATGGATAAATCATGTAGCCGAAACCTGTAAAAAAGATGCACAAATCCATCTCCCAGGTCAGCCGAGAAGCTCAAGACAAATACAGGAAACACTGGGCTACAACCTGGAATCATGGAAACGACAAAAGAAAGAAAGAAAAAGAATTTTCTACTTTTTTTTCTCATTCCTTTCCAAATGCCCCCCCCCCCCCAACCCTCTTTCCCTAATCGATGTAGCATGGCCCATGTTCTTATTGTAGTTTTTCCGACAAACCAACAAGCACTGCAATATTCTATAGCAGAACTGGTAAACTGGATATTTTGTGTGTGCCCACAGAATATTTCTCGTCTGGTGCCTTACAGACGGAACCTTCTCAAGACTCTGATGCTGGACCCGACTGCTTCTGTGGATATGGTATGTGGATTGTTACTTTGTATCCACAAATACTTGTTATTTTTTTGACTCAGTGTTGTTACTGGAAAAATAATGGCTTTTTTTTTAAAGAATATACCATATTTTTCTGTGTTATAAGGCAACCACATCTATAAGACACCCTCATATATAAGACATCCTCATATATATATAAGACGCCCTCATATATAAGACACCCTCATATATATAAGTCACCCTCATATATAAGATACCCCCATCTATAAGACGCCATCATATATAAGACACCCCTATCTGTAAGACGCCCTCATATATAAGACACCCCCATCTGTAAGAACGACCTCATATATAAGATACCCCCATCTATAAGACGCACTGATATATAAGACACCCCCATCTGTAAGACACCCTCATATATAAGACACCCCCATCTATAAGATGCCCTGATATATAAGACACCCCCATCTGTAAGACACCCTCATATATAAGACACCCCCATCTGTAAGACTCCCTCATATGTAAGACACTCCCATGTATACAACACAGGGCAGCTCATTTTAAACATCCTGATATTTGTTAAAAGCGTTATTTGTATCATATCTTAAAATTTATAAATGATACCAGTAAATTTTGAATCATATTTCCCTGCAGGTTATTTCCGACATAGACTTATACCTGGTGAACTTTTCTGCCACCCTGAAGTTGTTGGAGGAGCTGCTCACCCAGTACGGCCTGACCACAGAAGACAAGGTTTGACCAGCTGGCCGATCCTAGCAGATAAATAAGTTAGATTGAGTTGTACAGCAATCATTATCCATGTAGCAGGTCTGTGATTGTAGCGTTTGCAGTCTGTACACTACGAGGATGAAATTTGGGGATGACCACTGATTTATGGATGAAACAAGGTCACATGTTAATCCGTATTTAAATGTTGCTGTGAGTCATGTTGTTATGTGTAAGATATTGTTAGATATTAAATTGTTGGATAAAAGCATGGGTAAAATAGAAAAAGATATCGATAAAATTGTAAATGAAAGTTCTGGATAAAATATTTTAAAAGACAATAATTGATCAATATTTTAGAAGAAAAGTATGGATAAAATATTTAAGAATTAAGTTATGAATATAATATTGTTTAAGAAAAGTATGGATAAAATATTTAAGAATTAAGTTATGAATATAATATTGTTTAAGAAAAGTATGGATAAAATATTTAAGAATTAAGTTATGAATATAATATTGTTTAAGAAAAGTATGGATAAAATATTTAAGTATTAAGTTATGAATATAATATTGTTTAAGAAAAGTATGGATAAAATATTTAAGAATTAAGTTATGAATATAATATTGTTTAAGAAAAGTATGGATAAAATATTTAAGAATTAAGTTATGAATATAATATTGTTTAAGAAAAGTATGGATAAAAATAGTGTAGAATTCCATTGGGTTCTGGGACCCCATTTGGGGGAAAGGGGGGGGAGGAGGGGGAGAGGGGGAAAATTGATACACTGCCCCCTTACAAGCATGTCTCAAAAGATGACCATTTAAGGTTCTGTTGAACTTGGATGTGTTGGGCAGACAGGCGCAGATGTCACAGCCTAGCTGTAAAACACAACATGCCAACCACAGAAGAAAAAAGATTGTAAATGTATGGGTATTAGGGCTGTCCTGAATAGTGATTTTCACTATTCGGTCAAATACGAATAGTGGGACCAACTATTCGCCAAATACGAATAGCGTATCGTCATCATCAGGTGCCTTGCCGATTGGCGTAGGCGATCGTGCCTCTCCACAATCTGCGAACTCCTGCGGCATGTATCAGTTCGTGTGCCGACACACCTCCATGCCATGCAACAAGAGAGTCAAGAATCTTCTCTCATTGTCTTCCTCTATCCCTCCTTCCACAGATCTTTCCATTTTCCCTCTTCTCATAACATGGCCGAAAAATGTCTCCTTCTGATGTCTGTGATTAGTTGTCTTCGTGCTCCTGCCACTTTCAAAACCATCGTTTGCTCGGCTGTTCGTTCGATGTAATTTAAACGCACCTTCATATTCTTGTTAGCAATATGTTCAAATTTGATTTGTACAAAGACACCCTGAAAGAACGAAAAATGATCTCTCTCTCTTTCTCTCTCTCTCTCTCCCTTTCTCTCTCTCTCTCTCTCTCTCTCTCTCTCTCTCTCTCTCTCTCTCTCTCTCTCTCACTCACACACAGACACACACACACACACGCATGCAACAACAAAAAAGAATAAATATAAGTGCTTATTTGATGAGGCTAACAGTTGCTATTGTACAGACCACATTTTTCATTTTAAAATTTCAGCCAAAATGTAATCACAACCTTACTTATCCGCTGCACCACGATACAGATGAAGGATAGGTCACACCTCGAGATAAATACAAAGACAATTTTTAGCACGCTGCGGTTGGCATTTTATGCAGTATGATACACGTTGAGTGTGAAAAAAGGAAAAAAAAACAACTCTTTTCGACATTTTAATTTGAACTTTTAGGTATCTTCATGCCTTCTTTAATAATATCACAATTTATAGCCGACTATTCTTGATTTTCGCCACGTCACCCCTGGCATACGCACCCAGTTTGAGAACATCTGCTGTAATGCCTCGGTCGAGTCAGTAGGCAAAGACCTTGCCAGCTGCTGTAACACGCAACTTGGTCGCAGTTTCCCCCGCTACAACAGACTATTGTGTTAATGAAAGAGTTATTTCAATCCATCGCAGTGTATGCAGAAACGGGTGTAAGGTAACCACTATTGTATACGGCCCGAATACCGAATAATTATTAGGTCCACTATTCGGCCCTGAAGTGAATATTCGGGACAGCCCTAATGGATACAGTATTTTATTTGGAAAAAAAAAAGTATAGATAAAATATTTTAGAAGAAAGACTTGGATTTAATATTGTAAAAGAAATATCTGTGAATGGGTTCCGGGGCCCCAATATGGGCAAAACAAGAATAGACCCACTTTCTCCCCAACAAGCATATCGTAAGAGTGGACTGATTGGGGAAAGGACAAATGAAATATTGTTAGAAATATAGGTATAAATAAAATATTGCAGAAGAAAGATGATAAATTTGTGTATAAAATGTTGTTGAGGAAAATGTAATAGGCAATTGTTTAATTTTTTTTTTTTTCTGTTGTTCCTCTGAGTGATGTATTTGCTTTGTGCCTGTTCACAACATACACATAAGATACACATGTGGACAGGCATCGGAGACAACAGATCATGTCCTCCAAGACTGTCCCAAATACAACAACATATGAAAGCAAAACTTTTGGCCAAGAGAAACACCGGTGCGAGTCAAACTTTACGGACCACTGAGCGACTTACAAAGGACAGTAAAGTTCATACTAGAGACAAAATTGCAGATATAAATAATCTATTTCAAGCAAACAAAAGAAGAAGAAGATGAGATACAGCCAAATATACGCTGCAAGTGTCTGTGTCGTCTTTATTTAGAAGTGAGGTCTAGTCTGTCAGTGTGTTTGAGGACATGTTATGAGATGGAACCTACTCGAGAACTGGATAACAGCTAGCAAGAATGATGGAAAAAGAACAAGGGAAAAGCGGAGATAAATACCTGGATGGCTTTTGTGCAAACAAAACAATATTTATGGCTGAAATGATATTCAGATTATATTCTAATTTTTATTGATACATTTTTGGGAGGGTAAAAAAGAAACATTTATGGGTAATTATTTTAGGGTGAAATAGTAACGTTTATGGAGAGTATTTGCCAGGAAATTAATAGTAACATGTATAGAATTTTGACAGAAATGTAACAAATAAATGGCCTAATACTGAGTTCAGATTAATTAATTACATTTATAGAAATATTTTGCCAAGAATTAATAATAACACAGTTAGAAAATCTTTATAAAGATAATGTTTGTTTAATGTCATATACTTAATGTGATAATAGTGCTTAAAGGGTATGTTACCTTTTTTTTATAATTTTTTTTATTAAATACAGATAATACCTTGATAGAAACAATTAATAGCATTGAACTCAGGGGGTTTAGCGTCACAGGCCCAAGGGGTAGTCAAGATAGATGTAAGATCGGCGCATCTTGCGTTCATTGGGCTTCTAAGTAGGAATCGATGAACGTATGATGCGTTCCTTGGGACTCAAAGAGTTAAGCATTATATTTTTCATTACTATACAGTGATATTTATGGAAATAAAAGGCCATATATGTAATCTTATATTATATATATACATTTTTCTTGCATCATTAAATAATCTCGTTCATGTGTGTCCTTGCCCCTTGGGCTGCAACCTAAAGGTTTCACCAGCACTGCAAGAACCACATCTGAGATAAAAGTCCAACAGAGAAGATTCCCAGATGCCTCATTTAGCCTCTGGCAGAGGTTATAATTAGGGCACCAGTACATCAAGTCTACCCTGCCCTCAGGGGTGGTTAAAATGTTAAATTGGCCCTTTTTTAAATTGTCCTTCTTCGGGACTGCAGTTCATAGAATTCACACCTTAAGGTTGAGTGTCAAACAGGTTAAAGCCAGTGGGGTATTCTTTATAGGATGTTGCAGAACCAACCCCTTAGCATTTTTTGGGGGGGCTGTTGTGGTTTTTCTAGGCAAATTTTACTTTCAGTAGTTTGCCATTGCTTACTAAACGAACAGCTCTCAGTACCACGTTTGAACTCAGCACAAGACAAATAATCCGCAGCTGGGATCAAAACCTGCACTCTGGAATTACGAAGCGTGTTCACAACACCTAAACCACAGACACTGACATCAAACAGGTACCAAACCTAAAAGTCTCATTCATACAAAGGACCCTTTTGTATTTCTTTAAGGAGTATTGGGCATATAGGGCTAGACCAGTATTTTACAGACCAGTCGGCACTTGGTGGGTGGTGTGGTTAACATCCTGGCCACCTTTACTTCCCATGACTTTACCTGGTACCCATTTGAGGCTGGGTCGACCTGGGAGCCAAGGTCATTCTTGAAAATGTCCAGCTCCATCGGCACCGGAACCCACAACCTTACGATCCACAGGGGAGTGTCTGATTCACCTGTGTTACACCTGTGTTATAATGGGCCACCTGGTGGTTACGCAGTAACAAGTAGTCCAACTTGCGTAGGTGGGGTGTGTGGTTATACAGTACTTCTTCTAATTATCCTCCTCCTCTTATCCTCCTCCTCCTCCTCTTCTTCTTCTTCTTCTTCTTCTTCTTCTTCTTCTTCTTCTTCTTCTTCTTCTTCTTCTTCTTCTTCTTCTTCTTCTTCTTCTTCTTCTTCTTTTTCCTCCTCCTCCTCCTCTTCCTCTTCCTCTTCTTCTTCCTCCTCCTCTTCTTCTTCTTCTTCCTCCTCCTCCTCTTCTTCTTCTTCTCATCCTCCTCTGTCCCCTCTTCCTCATCATCTTCTTCTTCTTCTTCTTCCTCCTCTTCTTCCTCCTCCTCTTCTTCTTCTGTCCTCCCCTTCTTCTTCTTCTTCTTCTTCTTCTTCTTCTTCTTCTTCTTCTTCTTCTTCTTCTTCTTCTTCTTCTTCTTCTTCTTCTTCTTCTTCTTCTTCTTCTTCTTCTTCTTCTTCTTCTTCTTCTTCTTTTTCCTCCTCCTCCTCCTCTTCCTCCTCCTCTTCCTCTTCTTCTTCCTCCTCCTCCTCTTCTTCTTCTTCCTCCTCCTCCTCCTCCTCCTCTTCTTCCTCCTCTTCTTATTCTTCTCATCCTCCTCTGTCCCCTCTTCCTCATCATCTTCTTCTTCTTCTTCT